GTATTGTACTTCAGAAAAAGGGCGCAAATCTCTGGAGGAGGTAAATGTGAGCAAGAACCATTGAGAATTTCATATTTATGATTCGATGGAAAACAATTTACTGCTCAAAGAATCTGAAAATACTTGCTGGTGCAAATGACCAAAATGGTAAATTCCAACGAATTACAAAGATTATTGTTTGGAAGGTTCCACAATAACACAACAACTATACTCACCAAAATACTCAGAACTCCATTTCAAACTTGTCCCTGATCTTTACAGTACCTGGAAGAAGAAGAACATAAGAGCAACAATATTAATAACCCATTTCCGAATTACCCTTGGCCTCATTTTCAAAACGAGTCCTGGTGCTCATCCTTTCATATGATAATAAGTTTTCATTCAAATGCAAATTAAACTCATTTTCACAAGAATGGTTGAGCGCCAGGCCTCATTTTGAAAAAGGGGCCAAGGGTAATTCGGAAATGGGCTATTCGAAAGGCCTAAGGCATTCAGTCCTCAATAGCACTCTGAACGAGTTAAAATAACAACTAAAATCAACCAATCAAAATGCTATATTGCTGGTCCAATATTCTCTAAGTATTGGACCGGGCATTGTCCCGAATAGTCCCGAATGATACCGCACATGTGTCCCTTTGAACTTCAGTCGTATAATAAATCTCTTATTAACCAAGCTTGCTCGGGACCGAACTGGAAGAATATCGGCCCTCGGTCTTTTTTGTACGGACTTCGCTGCGCTCGGTCTGTAATGTTAAGACCTTGGGCCGATATTCTCCCAGTATGGCCCTCGCGCTTGGTTAATAAGATATAGCATAGAACCTTCCAAGAAGCCAGGCCCAAAATGCCATCTTCAATTTGACAGAACCATTTGGTTCACGCAAAGGAAGGGATCTCTCCCTACCCCAGGATTCGTGTACTCTGATAGCTATAAAACCATGGCCAAGGACGTGGACTTTCCTTCTCAATTAGTCAAGATGTAAATTATTTTGCAGATTCTGTTGGGAACTTAATAACTTTTAGCGACGGGACTTTCAGTGCTAATCAATTGCTGTCTCGAGATCAGTCGGTAGGTGTTCGATGTTGTTATGGTAACAGGTAGATCTTGACAGAACCAACCGCAGTAATCATTGGTGGTCGAAAGACTAAAGGACTCTAGTTTTGGTCAGTAGTCAAAAGAATGTCAGACAGCGGTCTAATAACCGCAAGGCTATTCGAGTCTAACTTGTTGATTAGACGAATAACGGAGACAATGATATCAAATAATCATTGACGCAAATAATTCTGAGATGACAAAACAAAACGTATCCATCGAAGATATGGCCTCTTCAATCATTTTTCCTTTTTCATCGGACCCGAAACTGATTGATTCTTGCGAATAAGCTAAGAATGTTTTTACGGTTCACTTTTTTAGCATGCCCCTCGCGACGTGTCTCCGATCAGCGATAAAGAGAATGCTGGCTATGAAAGTTCGAATGGATCAGAGAACTTCTCAGTTTCGTTTGGAGACCCAGCTGAGGGTAACTTTATTCATCTTTCACCTCTGTCAAGAAAGCCACGGGTCGACGGAGAAGACATGAACCCTGAATTGCTAGTTTAATTTTATCATTTTTATTATCAAATCATTATTGTTTGATTTCTCTTTTAATCATGCTACCTCATGTATAATTCTGTACATAAGCTAACTTGGGTTTTCATATTTATGCCAATGCCTCTCCATGGGCTCTGTCTTCGTGGCTCAGAAATTTGGATCCTGACCTTTTTGTGAGAAAAAAATTACTGACGGAAGCCCCAGGCTAGATTTGAATCAAGAAAATTTTTCACGTCAAAACTTACCCTTCCCATATTGTGATTTATCAATGAACTTCGAAGAATTAGGGATTATGGATAGACTTAAATTGAACACTGTAGAAAGGTGATGACCTACAATAAACTAGATGTATTTGCTGATTCCATCTGAAGGTATAGTAAAACACAGATGAAGATATATTTTTGTTGTTGTTCTATTTTGTTTGTTTCCGACAACTGCCCATGGCCAATAATGTTTCCCGGTCTTCATGCAAGTTAGACCTCGTGAGAGCCCTTAACGATATTTTCCTTTTATGATAGAACAAGCAAAATATGTTGTTCGAGATTTTTAGGTTGCCTGATAGTTACTGATAATTCGCGTATTGCTAACATTTTCAATGACTACTTCATTAACATTGCAAATCACATAGAGGCTCCAAGTGGTGAGGTTTACGATACAGATTTTGGGGCCCATCCGAGTGTAAATGCGATCAATGCCAACTGAATATCAGTTCTTGTTTTTCGTTTTGACCTGTGAATTCTACCTGCGTCAAGCAATTGTTACTAAGTATTAATATCACCCGGGTATGATAACATTGCGCCCAGATTATTACAGCTGTCGGCTGAGAGTATTTCAATGGTGTCATTGTCCAGTCCACGTATCCGGCAGCATGGGAAAGGGGACAGTTCACACCAATTCCTAAAGGCTCAGCCGGTGAGACTGACAAGACCTTATTTCGACCGGTGACGGCTTTACCGGGTATGAACAATATCTTTTAAAAGATTCTTGCATCGCAGTTAACGTCATACTTTCAAGGCATTGTGTCTTGATGATGGGAAACTTGTTGCCATGGTGGCAATGGATCCATCTAAGGAATTTGATAGTCTTCCTCACTCGCTGCTTATAAGTAAGCTTCGGGCATATGGTTTAGACAACGGTAGCTGCGCGTTTTTACAAGACTATCTTACAGGGAGATTTCAGAGGGTGAAGGTTGGTGATGGATTGTCCTGTTGGGAGCTAAATCTACGAGGTATACCCCAGGGTAGTGTCCTTGAACCGCTCTGCTTCAACGTCTTTCTCAAGGACAATGCTTGTGTTGACGATCAGTAGCTGTATGGCGCGGACAGTGATCACGCGACAATGATCACGCGGACAGTGATCACGCGGACAGTGATCACGCGGACAGTGATCACGCGGACAGTGATCACGCGGACAGTCATCACGCGGACAGTCATCACGCGGACAGTCATCACGCGAACAGTCATCACGCGGACAGTGATCACGCGAAAAGTGATCACGCGGACAGTGATTACGCGGACAGTGATCACGCGGACAGTGATCACGCGAACAGTGATCACGCGGCCTTGTATGCAAGTCTAGACCACTAGTTAAAGGAAGTAATATAGTGGTTCAGCAAGATGGCCTGATGGCTAATCCTAGCAAATTTCAACTGTTTGTGTTAGGTAGTACCGAGCAGGACTTTTCTTTCAATATTGCTGGACAACAAATAAAGAAGTGTGATTATGTTGACTTCTTAGGAGTTAATATAGATTCCAAACTCTGTTTTGACAAGAATATCTAATCTATTTGTAGCAAGGTTAACGAACAATTGTCAGTTGGGAATATATTTAAGCATCTTATAGGTGATTATATCAAGCGAAGGTCATATATTGCCTTTATTTTACCTGCTCTTAACTTGTAGCGACGTTTGGCACTTTTGTAACAACCGTTGGAAAGACAAATTGGAACAACTCAATAAGCAGGCCTTAAGGACGGTTCTGAATAGTAATCTTGACTATGAAACTTTACTTAGAATCGCATCATTGAATAAAATCTCGCATTCTGATTGGTTAACGAAGCGAGGTATTTAGCGTGGAATTGCGAGTTGAAAACGAGGCTAAGTGAAATTGTTTCGCATCTACGTAAGCATAACAATTTTTAGTAATGCTCTTTCATTTCTTTTCTCATTTTTATTCCGTTATGCGACTCAAGGAAAATTCATTGCTTCACACGTGAATTCTGCATTGAATTGCACTTGAAAACCGATATCGCACGAATCGCGAAGCGATGAGTGCGATATCGGTTTTCGCGTGCAATTTAATGCGGAATTCCCTCGTCAAGTAATGAATTTTCCTATAGAATAATGGGATCTGTGAATCTTGAATCTTCTCGTATTCAGAACATGCTAGTCACTACGTATAAGACTTTATGGAATTGCTCCACCATATCTGGGATCGCAATTGGAGGAACGAAAAAACCTCAGAGGTACCCTAAAATTGAGTCTACCAAGGGTTAATACGAGCTCCTATGGATTACAATCGTTCAGATATGCTGCTCTTCAAGCATGGAATGCGCTGACTGATAGCATAAGAACTTCTGACTCTGTCACTGCTTTTACGCGCGCTATTCGCAATATTACTGTGTAGATGAGACTAAAGACAATGATATATATGCGTGTGCGTAGTTATTTCATATATATATATATATATTTTTTTTTTTTCTTATTTATATATTTTGCTGTATTTCTGAAATGTTAATTATACTCGGAGATACTAGTTCTCTGGAGCTATTCTAAATCCGAGTTTAAATAAAGTTATAGATTTTCTTTTTATGACCAGCAGCTGCAACAGAAATTCGTGGGCTCAGGTGTTTCTTCCCCTCATATCTTTTAACCTCATATTCTGTTTTTTTTCCTTCTTGTTTTCTCGATATCTGGAACATCGACATGAAAATGACCCGAGAAGTGTAATTTTCTTTAAATTCCAGAAATCAATGGATTCTTTTGGTCAGCTTTCCAAAGCAAGGTAAAACAAGCGTAACCTCCAAGCATTTATGGTAATAGGTTTCTTCTCAAATTAAAATTGAAGAATCCGCTGTATTTATATTACACAATAGGGATGATAAAATGCATTCGAGGACACTGTGGCTGTTTTGAAATAAACTGTACTCGAAATCATTAACACAATCAGATCACAAGTCACAATAAAATAAATAACATACAAACCAATTCCGTAATGATAAAAGATTTCCTTTCCTTATGACACGTTCAAGAACGTTTGAAATAAAAAGAATTCCACACGATGGCAGGTGAAGACAAGTTTGAATTGAAAATTCTAAATCCATCAGCGAGAAAAGAGAAAACTTCAACATTAACATCTTTTAGACAAAAATTCAGCGCCTAGCACTTTTTAATTTGATGGTGGTTGCGATAATGTCGAAAGTTGGGCGGTTGCAGACAGCTTCTGGTGAAGGAAAATTTTGGAATGGTTTAGTTTCATTACCGGCTGTAAACACCTTTGATAGAGCGAAAAGAAAAGAAAATCCCGCCAATATATGAAATTATGGGCGGCACTTAAAAGGATAAGAATAAAAACAAAAAATAATTTGGAGAGAAACATTACCCCCTGTGCTGATGCTCATCAAACAACACAGATTTGTCTGACAGAGGAGGTGGTCTATGCGTTCATTACAATTTTATAGAGAACCTCAGGTATGAAAAATTATTTTAAGAAGAAGTTTTACCTTTAAGGGTTTACTAGCTAATTTTACAAAATAATTTCAAGCATTTACCATGAAAAAACTAGGCATCACAAGATTACGTTCTTATTTACCGGCTATTGAAATTGTTCAGTTTTGCCCGGAGAACTTAATAATTATCATCTCCGCAAAAGGTTTCGATATTAAAAGCTGCGATTTACTCCAACAAAAAGTTTGTTTTCAAATACGTAGCTATTGGGAACATGAAAAGCAAAGTATCTCCTCGAGAAGATAACTCATGTACTTTTATTTTTGTTACGCTTTGTTGTAATATCGTTGAATTACAGAAAAGGACTTCAAGAATACAGCTAAACTCAAACGCTGAATTTCAAAGAAAAAACGTCCTCTGCAGTCTCAAACATCCAGAAATCTCCTTTTCCGAGATCTTTGTTTGGATATATTCAAGATGTGAAGCTAAAAGGGGCGCGATTTTTTATTTTTTTTTTTATTTTTCTTTACATTGTTTTAACTTTGTTTACCAAAATTTTCTCAGAGCAATCATTTCGTGTTGCCCAGTGGGTCTCAATAATTTCGGATAAGATTAAAGCAATTTGGTTTTTTTTTTTTTATTATAGCATTAGCTATTTTATTTTCTAAATTCAATGTTTTGTACCTGATCGGGTTCAAAGAAAATTTGAACTATAATTTTTCCATCGTGGGGAAGGTTTGATATCACTCAGTATCAAGTAAAGCATTTTTCAGCTCTAACCATGTTTGACCATATCAAACATTTTTGTGGTATCTTTGAGATCAAACTTTGCCTGAGGTTCTTGATATAAAACCCGGTAAAAATTCGTTTATAAACATAATTTGCTTCTCGCAAAATTAGAAATAATTCAAATGAAAGTGAAATAATTAATCTCCTTTTTCGGTAAACTCTTCCCCTTGAAATTTCTGTAAAACGTTTTTATCGGAAATCGTAATTCTTTGTCTTAAGGGCAAATCTTTCACAAGTGTTCCAAAACAAACATGTTTCAAATTAGGTTGGGACCGCTTCAAAAGTGTTTGAAATCGCACTTCTTACAAAACATCTAATGTTGTTGGGGATAGTGGCCTTGTTATTACCAAGTTCATCCAGATCAATCGAACACACATAAAAAAGCAAAATATTCAGGGTCTTTGCGGAATTGGAAATGGAATTCTTTATCAGTAATGAAAATAAAGAACGAAATAGCACTTGGAGACGCCATAAGAATTTAAATTTGTGTTATTCTATGGATGATTTGCATTTACTACATCCAATTTACAATTTTTAAACATTTTTAACTTACATCAGGAAAATAGAACTAGAAAATTGTTGAATTTTGACAACTTTGGTTTTTTTGCCCTGTACATGGAAAAATAAACAGGAAAAAACGAGGAACGTTCGATAAGAACTCAATGGAATAATTATCAACGAAGTCGTGTAGGCATCCTGTGCTTCGTAATGGTTACCCTGTACATTTTATCTACATGCGTGAACGGATAGTCAAATTGAAGAATTCAGCTGCAGCAAAAAGACAGTTTGGCGACATCGTATCCGCAGATGTCCTTTTGAGGCAAACAGCACGAAAATTGATAAAGGACAAAAAATTTTAGGGAGTGCTTTTTACCCCCTTCCACCTTTTAAATGCTACGCGCACATATCTGAATCCGAGGTGACAAGCGGTTTTTAAGAAAAGAC